TCCAATGTAGACCTCCATAATTCAAGTTTTTCCTGGGCTTTTTCTCTCGTTTTATCCACGAGAAGAATATCATCAGCAAAAAGCATACACCAAGGTACATCCTCTTGTAGATGTCCAGTAAGACCATCCATAATTAAAGCAAAAAGATATGGGCTTAAAGTCGATCCCTGATGTAATCCAACAGAAATAGGAAAATATTTTGTCAATCCTCCTTCAGTTTGAACACAAGTAACAGCTCTAGTATACATATCTTTAATTACTTGAATATAAGTCATATCAACACATTTCTTCTCGAGAACTCTCCAAAGGATATCTCTTGGAACCTTATCGTAAGCTTTTTCTAAATCCAAAAGAAAATAAGAGGAAGCAGACAAAAAATAAGTAACAAGATATAAAAGACAATAGGATATAAAAGATGACAAGTCATAAAGATGACGGGGCACGACAAGAAGGTAATTAACAAGACTTACAGCCAAAAAAAAAGGAGGAAGAACTACTCTCACTTTCGAAGAGGAAGAGGATCTTTTATGGAGGAACACAAAGATAGTATATTTTCTCTACCCTGTTTATTCTTAAATGAAGAAAGAAATAAAAAAGAGAAAGATAATAAATGAAGAAAGAAATAAAAAAGAGAAAGATAAGGAAAAAAAAGACAAATATATTCCATCCCCTCATTTAAGTCTCTCCTTTGGGATGACCACACAAAAGAAACCCTCTCTGTCATTTAAACCTCTCCTTTGGGACGAGCGAGCCAACAAAGTCTCTCCTCCGGTACAAGCCAAAAAAATCTCTCCTCCGAGATGAGCAAATAAAGTCTCACCTTCGGGACGAAGCAACAAGTTTCTCCTCTGGGACGAGCCTATAAAGCCTCTCCTCCGGGACGAGCCTATAATGCCTCTACTTCGAGATCTCCTCCGGGAGAAGGCCTCTCCTCCGCAACGAGCCAACAAGGCCTCTCCTCTGCGATGAGCCAACAAAGCCTCTCTTCTTGGATGACTAAACAAAGCCTTTCCTCTAGGATGAGTAAACAAATAATCTTCTCAAAAATAGATCCACGGAATATCAAATCTAAAAATACAAAAACTTAACCAAAAATTTTCTAAAAAATCTATTTATCAAAGGCCATGAAAGGACTGATATATAACTAAGTCCAACTAGATGCTTATAAAATAGTATTTTCTATACTAATGAGTTTCATTCATATCGTAACTTCATCTCCAAGAAATAAAAAACTTGAGGGCATTATCCATAGCCAGAAAATGGCACCTCACCAAAACAAGATAATCCATCGCCTGAATCACGCAAGCTGGGATTCCCTCTTTTCGCCGACCACCTCCAGTTGTTCGGCCACCAGCTCCTCGGGTAGGCCAACCTGCTCCAGCTGGCCGACCCTCTCGGATCAGCAACCAACTCTTCTGGACGGCCTCCTTAGGTCTGTCAACCTGCTCCAACTGGCCAACTCCTTGGATCAGCACTCTGCTCCAACTAGCCGGCCCCCTCAACTCAACCACCGACTCCTCAAGTCAGCCACCCTACTCCAGCTAGCTAGTCGGCCGCCTTGGTCGGCCACTATGCACCAGCTAGCCGATCCCCACGAGTCAACCACCGGCTCCTCAGGTCGGCCTCATCAAGTCGACCACCTAGCTCTAATCGGCCGCCTTGGTCGACCACCCCCAGTAGTCAGCCACCCAACGTCGACATACTCCAATGCTTCAGAATACAAAAGTACCAAAATACCTTGTACTGCCCTCCTTCAATCAAGGGCACTGTTGTGATATTATTTTTTCTATTTCCCTCATCCATAAATAGAGGACCTTTGGCATGTGTTAAGTGCCCCAGAGGCTCTCTCTCAACCCCCATGTAAAATGCAACTCCCCTTCTTCCAACTAGACTTAGAGCAAGTGGATGCGGA